TGTTTCTCTGTGAGTCTCTGTCACAGCAGGATCTGCTCAAGTCCACTATGATCCTGTTCTTCTAGATCTCTGTTACCTGCAGGAACTGGATGTGATCCTGTGTGTGTGAAAGCTGCTCCAGCTCAGCATCTCTCCTCCTCAGATCATTGATCTCCTGCTCCAGTCGCTCCAGTTGTTCTTCAGCTCGACTCACTGCAGCCTTTTCTTGGTCTCTGATCAGCCGTATCAACTCAGAGAATCTTCTCTCAATGGAGCGGATGAGCTCAGTAAAGATCCGCTCACTGTCCTCCACTGCTGTCTGTGCAGAGCGCTGTTAGGACACACAGTGATTCAGGCTTCAGTGAGTCTGAACTGAGACTGAGACAAACTTCTCTTCTTCTCCAGACTCACCTTATGAGACTCCACAGCCTCTCTCAGCTGCTGAAGATCTTTCTCTCTCTGCTGGATTCTCTGTAGGAACATCTTCTGCATCTCCTTCAGCTGTTTCTGCAGGACAAATGGATAACAGTAAATATTACATAAAACTACTGTCACTAAATCATCATGTGAACAGATGAATCCAGTAAAAGTCGAACTGATAACTAATGGTTGTAGGTTCAAACTCTAGAAGGGATGACTGATTGTTTACCACCATTGTACATGGATTAATATAAAGATTCAGGCCTGTTTCATACTACAAGTGTAAGTATCATAAAAGTGAAATTGACACAGATGTAGAGCCTCAAATAGAAAGTGTTTTGCATCATTAATCCGTGGCTCTACACAGAAAATAAACTATTGGATCACTACAATGAGTATTAACTTGATTGCTAGTTTTAAATACCTGTTTCTCTGTCCTCTGTGCTGCAGCTGATACAGTGTTGTGGTTTTTATGTTCATATTTTGTACACAGCTTACAAATGCATTGTTGGTCAGTAATACAGTACACTTCCAGATGTTTCTCATGTTTCTGGCAGATCATCTCCTGCAGTCGTCCAGTGGCATCAATCACTTTGTGTGGCTTACATTAATGAAATTCCTCATGACGGTCAAAATGAGTTTGACAGTAAGATTTCTGACACATCAGACAGGACTTGACGGCTTTGTATTTTCTTCCAGTACAGACGTCACACTGCACATCTCCAGCTCCAGCGTAACAGTCTGTAGGTAGTTTGGTCTTCTTCAGTTTCTCCACCAGTTCAGCCAGCATGGTGTTTCTAGCTAACGCAGGTCTTGGACTGAAGGTCTGTTTACACTGAGGGCAGCTGTAGACTCTCATCTGATCCTCCTTATCCCAGAAGCCTGTAATACAGCTCTTACAGTAACTGTGTCCAAATTGGATTGTCACTGGATCCTTCAGGAGATCCAGACACACTGTACACATGAACTCATCTTGGGAAAATTTGACTTCTGCCATTTTACTGCATGAATACAGAGACACAAGCACAAAACAGCTAACTACATCTTCTCTTTCTCTTTCCCTTAAGTCGTGTTTCCTGTTTCCTGTTTCTGTGTTTGAGTGACGTGTTTAAGACAAGTCTGTCTCTGATGTCTACTAGATATCAGTCTCATACAAACACTAAAAAAAAATAAGTTACAGTGAAGCAAGTCAACAGCTTTAAATATTGCAGCAATACTGCATCATGAATACTACAGGATTACTACAGGTCACGTGACCTGCCACCATCCACTGTTAGGCAGTGCTGGGTAGATTACTAACAAATTGTAGTCTGATACTGATTACAGACTATATGATGAAAACTGTAGTTAGTAATGTTATTTAGGTTACTCATTTTAGGTCTGTTATAACTGCGCTGTAGACAAACTCACTAGGAGGAAGATAAAAGTTTCTGTCTTTAATCCAAAACACAGGTACAGTGCTCTATCTACACAGGGTAGATAGAGCACAACACTGCAGTAACATAGACAAGACCGGATGACTAAAACTTAAAACATAGGAACTTAAATACACAGGATAACGAGGCGACACAGCTGAATGGGATCAAAAATCAAAAATCAAATTAGTAACCATGGTGACAAATGCGGGCAGGGGAAATGTGCAAATGAAGTCAAAGTCCAAACTGAACTAAAACCATGACAGTATGCCTCCTCCCAGAAAGGCGCGACTTCATGCCGGCAGATGGATAGAGGAGGCTATGGTGGAGGACTGGAACCAGGGAGAGGTGAAAACTGAAGACACCAAGGTGGTGAAGATGGTGGAGTGAGCCATGGAAAGGTCAGGAGCAGGGGGAGCCAGATGGTGATTCAGGCCACAGCCATGACAGCGATCCACGGCAGCATTGCTGGAGGGAGGAGCTGTTGGAATGTAGACTTCAATGCCACCATGGTGATGAATGAAGGCAATGGAGCCGATGGAATTGGAGCCCTGGGCACAGACAGAGACCAATGGACCAGACGACACCATAGGCTTTGGAGGCTGCGATGGAGCTGTAGTGATGACCCACCCCCAAGGTGGAACCGAGGTAGGAGGAATGGCGTAGCTGTAGGGGTGGGAGAGACGGAGTGTAGCAGATGGCTCACAAGTCCGTGGCGTAGGAAGGGTGAAGTTTAACGAAGGTGGAGACGATGGTCCGATGGAGCCCGGTGGAGCTGTAAGCCCGATGGTCCCTGGTGGAGCAAAGGAAGGAAAGAGCAAAGGCTGAGGAGTCAGGGCGATGGGCCAAGGTGCAGTGATGGTATCAGCGGCTGGTGGTGGAGCCAGGGGATCCATAGAGATGACACGCGTCATAATCTGAAAACCAACCCTCTCCATTGACTTTGTATTGCGGGAAGCTGCTTTCTTGTCATTTCTGACTTATAACAAAAAAACAGAACAATGTCTAAAAGCTTTTATGTGACAAGGTGTACAGTAAACAAGCTAAAAAACCCAGAACTACGTTTTTATAAGCTGTTGACCCAAACAACAAGCATTTAAGGACACAAATATTTGTAGATGTCAGGGTATTTCATGTTGTCAGGGTATCTCACTCTAAGCGACGGGAGTGTGGGCGGGGCTCCATTCCATTCCCTCATACTCCACTATTACTCCCACGATGGATGGTGCTGCCGGCTCATGCACCTGGTCAGACTTGTGAGGCTTGCACTCTGGGACGATGATTTGCTCAGTCGCTCCTACATGCGCTGTCTCACACATTGCGGTGGGCTTGGGCTCTCTGTCTGTGGTAAGCTCTTCATGTGTATACAAACACACTAGGAGAAAGATGAAAATTTCAAAAGTTTTTAATCCAAACACAGTGTAGATAGAGCACAAAACTGAAGTAACGTAGACAAGACCGGAAAACTAGAACTGAAAACACGGGAACTTAAATACACAGGATAATGAGGTGATACAGCTGAACGTGATAGCAAATCAAATCAGTAACCATTGTGACAAATGCGAGCAGGGGAATGGTGTAAATCAAGACATACTAAAATCTTATTTTTAGATTCCTTTTTTTTATCAAACTTTGATCATTATATCCAAACAAACACTCATCACCCCGTCCCTTCCTTCTGATGCTCTTATATGGCATTGATATTAACACACCTCTATTTCACACACACACTGATCTTACTGTCTATATGAGGATTTATTACACACATTTATTCTGACGTTATTTTACTGACAGAAGTTCAGCTGCACTATTAATGTATTGAAGAGAAAAGAAGAGACTCTATAACATCTCACTGTTACATTGGGTCAGAGACGCTGTAAAAGGACAGAATTCCTGCACTGAGATCTTCTTGAGCTCCTCTTTGCAGAAATCCTCCAGTTTGTCTCTTACCTGATGGACAGATTATCTCAGGTTATCAAAAGGGAAGAGAGAACTGAAGGGAATGTAATTTACATCTGTAGATTCAAGAGGTGCTGAGAGAGACTGGAAACTCTACAGAAGACAGAAATCCAAACTCATCAGCTCCACACTTCACCCAATAACCTGCAGGAACATCAGGTTTGTGCGGCTCTTGTTGACTTGACTGATCTTTAGTAACTCACCTCAATCCAGCACTTTCACAGCATCAGCTACATTCTTCTCATATTCATTATACCACATTAGAGTTACAGGTTCTAATATTTGCCACTTAAACTATATGCAAACTTTCTAAGAAATTGTTTGGATGATAAAACAACACCCTCATAAAGATGGGCATCTCGGGAACCGCACTCCAATTGTTCAAGTCTTACCTCTCAGGTAGGTCTTTCAGGGTGTCTTGGAGGGGGGAGGTTTCTAAGTCACAACTTCTTGTTACTGGGGTTCCTCAAGGCTCAGTGCTTGGACCTCTTCTCTTCTCCATCTACATGTCATCATTAGGATCTGTCATTCAGAAGCATGGCTTTTTTTATCACTGCTATGCTGATGACACTCAACTCTACTTCTCATTCCAACCAGACGATCCGACAGTAGCTGGTCGCATTGCAGTCTGTCTGAGATACTAGCTGGATGAAGGACCATCACCTTCAACTCAACCTTGCTAAGACAGAACTGCTCGTGGTCTCAGCCAACAAAGCACTTCATCACAACTTCTCTATACAGCTGGGTTCGTCAACCATAACTCCTTCCAGGACAGCCAGGAACCTTGGAGTTGTGATCGACGATCAGTTAAGCTTCACAGACCATATTGCTACAACGGCCCGGTCCTGCAGATTTGCCTTATACAACATTAGGAAGATTAGACCCTTCCTATCAGAGCAAGCTGCACAACTCCTTGTCCAAGCTCTCCAGACTGGACTATTGTAATGCTCTCTTGGCGGGCCTTCCCGCATGTACTATCAAGCCTTTGGTCCGATGCTGCCGACGCAAGGTGACAACACCGTCGACTTTCTTCACCGCTAGTTCTTTGAAGTTGGCTTGGTGTGTCCCGGCCTTAACAGCTCAAGCACATCAATGGAGTCTCATTGTAGAGTTGAATAGATTTACTCAAAAAAAGTAGCTCAAAGGCTATGATTAGATTGATCATTATTTATAACTTCAGAGCAGTTTGTAGCATAGCCACATATTAGTAGGCATGTGTATATGTTGGTGTGAGTAATCCTTCTTTTACTACATGCCTACATATTATGTGTTATTGTCTATTTTCTGTCTTGTATTACCCCATTATTATATGTGTGCGTGGTCCGTGTTCTCGCACTTGCGAGACTTTTACCAGAAACCCCACGCTCCCGTGGGTCGTGCCCCCGAAGCTCTTCTCAGTGTTTTGATTTTTGAACTGGTAAAAGAGCCGCTGATCGGCATTTTAGAGGAGCAGTATGTGAAACAAACTCTAAAATGGGTTAGGTGATTGCAGATGCACGGATTACTCTCCTTCCTGGCTTTGTGGATTATTCACGAGCGATCTCACTGTGGAGTACTATATTTTAGGGGGGCTTTATCTTGTGGAATACTTGCTGGTGAGGACAGATACTGCTGCTGAATGGACCACTCATAGACAATCCATTGCTGGTGAGCCTGATCCGAACTTTGTATATATTATGAACTTTGTGACTTGTACACACACACAAACTCGCACATCCACCCATCTATGTTGTACTTTGAATTGTTAAGTATTGGATATGTGATTTGTAAATACATTTGGGCAATTTGACACTTTATTTGATTGTCTGACACCCCTTTAACAGATAGTGATACCTTATTAAGGTTTTCTCGTGCCTTGTTGTGTACGGTTGTTTGTTACTACAGTTGTTTGTACAGTTGAGAACGCCAACTGTTAGTGACACTGAAACTTCACAAACATGAGGCTGTATAGTAGCAATCGGTCTCATCAGGATTCAGACAAAAATACAAGGTGCCGCAAATAATGCAGTGTTTGATTTTGCATTAAATTCTGCAATCGCAGAATCGTGAAATCCTGGAGTGACTAAAAAATGCTTCAGCACATTGAACCCAAATAGAACCTGATCGTGTCTTAAAAGGCATAGTTCACTCAAAAGTGAACATTTTCTGTTAATTTACTCACCCACAGGGCATCCAAGATGTAGGTGACTTTTTTCCTTCAGTAGAACAGTAAAGAAGATTTTTAGCTGAAAGTGTGGTCCTTGGTGAATCATAAAATGCAAGTCAGCGGCTGTCTTTGAGAATAAAAAAGCATACCAAGAAACACAAAATTAATGCCTGTGAACTCATTTAGTGCTCCAGTTCCTCCAACAGTCACTGAACTGAGGAAGCAGACTCGATGAGCGATGAGCCACTGATATGCGCATACGTGAACCGAACACTTGAATGAAGGGAATAAATTTATGTTTTTATGGTTTCTCATTGTTTATGTAAAAAGGTGATAGACTAGTTTATTCACTTTATATGCTTTGGACATGTAAAACATCCACGTTTCCTTAGGGTATTCCACGGGTATTCATTTTTATGTTTCCTAATTTGCTTTATTTTTTATTCTGTGCATTTTCCCACAATCACCAGCCTAGGAACTAATTACAGACACACCTGTTTACCATTAGGAGGACTATTTAAGTTGCACTCTCACACTCAAACATTGTTGAGTCTTGTTTAGCTGTTAGCGTACATTTCTAAGCGTTTCCTTGTGTTCTTGCCTTTGTGGTTTTGTCTTTGGATTGTTCCCTGGATTGTGATTGTTTGCTGCCTGCCCTGACCAATGCCTGATTACTCTCTTATTTTGCCCTGGGACATAGTTGTTTGCTGGTGTTTGACCCTGCCTGTTTTGACTACGCTCTATAACCAGTTACAACCCAGCACTTCTAATAATTCAGCTGACCTGCTACTCCAGCCAGTGAGGTAACTACTGAACTACTGAACACACACATGTTGGGTTTCCATGTTTTGTGGAGAAAATACATAGATTTGATGTTTTTTGTACTGTACAAACTGTACAGTAACCCCTTACCCAAACCCTAAATGTCGTCACAAGGTCAAAAATGACTGGTTTTACTATCCTTGTTGGGACACTTGGGACATGGTTAACAATTAAATGCATGGTAATAAAAACAGCGGCTTGAGACACCAAAAGACAGAAGAACATAAAAAACTGAAAAGGGCATGAGGTAAATAATGAAAATGGTTTATTGACTGTGTGATCATTTGAATTGAAGGGTAATTTGACTGATACACATAAAAAGTACAGAAAAACATTGTCACTCAGCAGGACTCACACACACACACTGATCTTACTGTCTTGTTATACGCACACCATATTTCCCACTCCACTCCAGCTCCCAGTAACAGTGTCCACACACACTCTCTCTACACAACTCCTGAAGAACACACTCAAATCTGTCTGGATGATCAGGATACAACTGATCTGTGCCAGTGTAAGTAATCACTCTGTTGCTTTCAGACAGACGGAGGTGTTTATGTGCTGTGCTCAGATCCAGAGTGAACTGATAGGAATCTGATGGAGATAAAACAAATCAGAATCAGGAATTATGAACCTGTTAGACCTTTTCATGCAGCTGAACTCTTCATGTTCAGTGTATCATCAGTGTCTCAGTACAGATGACCAGATATCCTGTACAAATCATCATTTACATCATCAATTATAAAACTCTTATTTCCCCTTCTACAGGAAGAACATAAACACACTCAGTGAGTTTTTCTGCTTGTTTTCTTACTGACTTACATTGTAGGAAGTCGTTCCTGGTCCAGAGATCTATGTTGGTGATTATGACTGTGGAAATCAACAGACATGAACAGTGTGATTCTTATGATCCTGCATTCATTCCTAAGACATTTCTAATATGATGTTCTCCATGATATGAGATGTTGATGGACTCGTTTCTGAGAGCAGGTGAATCTCCAGGACTTTACCTCTGTCTGAGATCTTCTTGAGCTCCTCTTTGCAGAAATCCTCCAGTTTGTCTCCCAGCTGATGGACAGATTCTCTCAGGACATCAAAAGAGAAGAGAGAACTGAAGAGATCATAATTTACGTCTGTAGATTCAGGAGGTGCTGAGAGAGACTGGAAACTCTACAGAAAACAGAAATCAAAACTCATCAGCTCCACACGGGGACGCCACTTATACGAGTGATTTAAAGCGAAAGAAAAGTTCTGACAGGAGAGCCGTTTGAGTGACAGACATGGTAATAGTGTTTTATATTTTCAAGTAAGAAGAAAAAGCTCAGAGAAATGATTCCTAAGAGATTTCCAGAGCTGAAAGCCATTTGTAATCAGCGTCTCTTTCACAAGAAGATGATCAGATGAGAGTCTGACTGATGATTATATAATAAGACACTCATGAAATGTTTCTCTGTAAGGCTCCTGTCACAGCAGGATCTGCTCAAGTTCACTATGATCCTGTTCTAGATCTCTGTTACCTGCAGGAACTGGATGTGATCCTGTGTGTGTGAAAGCTGCTCCAGCTCAGCATCTCTTCTCCTCAGATCATTGATCTCCTGGAACACACTCAGTGAGTTTTTCTGCTTGTTTTCTTACTGACTTACATTGTAGGAAGTCGTTCCTGGTTCTGGGAACAATGTTGGTGAATGTGACTGTGGAAATCAACAGACATGAACAGTGTGATTCTCATGATCCTGTATCTATTCCTAACACATTTCTAATATGATGTTCTCCATGATATGAGATGATGATGGACTGGTTTCTGAGAGCAGATGAATCTTCAGGACTTTACCTCTGCCTGAGATCTTCTCGAGCTCCTCTTTGCAGAAATCCTCCAGTTTGTCTCTCAGCTGATGAACAGATTCTCTCAGAGCATCAGAAGAGACGAGAGAACTGAAGAGATCATCATTTACGTCTGTAGATTCAGGAGGTGCTGAGAGAGACTGGAAACTCTACAGAGTTATAAATCAGAAGGAGAAATGAGGAAAAAGTTGAAATGTTAGTGAAGTTTTGAACAGTTGGTGGTGCTAGTGGTGTTTGACAGCTAAATATATCTTCCAGAAGAAAGAGCTCAGAGAAATGATTCCTAAGAGATTTCCAGAGCTGAAAGCCATTTGTAATCAGCGTCTCTTTCACAAGAAGATGATCAGATGAGAGTCTGACTGATGATTATATAATAAGACACTCATGAAATGTTTCTCTGTAAGGCTCCTGTCACAGCAGGATCTGCTCAAGTTCACTATGATCCTGTTCTAGATCTCTGTTACCTGCAGGAACTGGATGTGATCCCGTGTGTGTGAAAGCTGCTCCAGCTCAGCGTCTCTCCTCCTCAGATCATTGATCTCCTGCTCCAGTCGCTCCAGTCGTCCTTCAGCTCGACTCACTGCAGTCTTTTCCTGATCTCTGATCAGCCGTATCAGCTCAGAGCGACGTCTCTCAATGGAGCGGATGAGCTCAGTAAAGATCCTCTCACTGTCCTCCACTGCTGTCTGTGCAGAGCGCTGTTAGGACACACAGTGATTCAGGCTTCAGTGAGTCTGAACTGAGACTAAGACAAACTTCTCTTCTTCTCCAGACTCACCTTATGAGTCTCCACAGCCTCTCTCAGCTGCTGAAGATCTTTCTCTCTCTGCTGGATTCTCTGCTGGAACGTTTTCTGCATCTCCTTCAGCTGCTTCTGCAGGACCAACGAATGACAGTAAATGTCACAGAAAACTACTGGCACTAAATCATCATGTGAACAGATGAATCCAGTAAATGTGAAAATGATAAAGGCTGTGGGTTCAAACTCTAGAAGTGATTTTTACCACCCTTGTACATGAATGCACATAAAGATTAAGGCCTGTTTCACACTACAAGTGTAAGTATTATAACATTGAAAATGGCACAGACGTAGAGCTTCAAATTGAAAGTGTTTCTGTTTTCTGTGTAATTAAGCTGCGGCTTTACACAGAAAATAATCAGACTATTGGATCACTACACTGAGTATTAACTTGATCTCAGTGTGACAGAAAACCTCAAAGAGCTTCTCATGTTTCTGGCAGATCATCTCCTGCAGTCGTCCAGTGGCATCGATCACTTTTTGTGGTTACGTGAATGAAGCTCTTCATGACGGTCAAAATGAGTTTGACAGTAAGATTCCTGACACATCAGACAGGACTTGACGGCTTTGTATTTTCTTCCAGTACAGACGTCACACTGCACATCTCCAGCTCCAGCGTTACAGTCTGCAGGTAGTTTGGTCTTCTTCAGTTTCTCCACCAGATCAGCCAGCATGGTGTTTCTAGCTAAAGCAGGTCTTGGACTGAAGGTCTGTCTGCACTGAGGACAGCTGTAGACCCTTTATACAGAGACACAAACACACAACAGCTCAACTACACTTCAGTTTCTCTTTTCCTGAACTCATGTGATTGTGGTACTGTGTTTGAGTGACGCGTGTAAAACATTCATTTTGGGAGCCTGTAAAGCAGGTTCCTTATTCCTGCTTCTTTAGAAACACATTTGTGCTTAGTTTAGTTTTGACACCCGACAAGTGAACGCAAAGAACTTGACTAGTTGATTCAGGTGCGTTTAAGTAGAGATCAAACTAAACTTTGTGGGAAAGTGACTCACCTGGACTAGGAATGGAGAATCCTTATGAAAATAATAAAAAATAATAGAATATAAAATAATTATAAATGTGTATTAGATGTCAGTCTCAGACAAAAACTTAAAGAACACAAGTCACAGAGAATCAGAATCAGAATGAGGTTTATTGCCAGGTATGCTTGCACATATGAGGAATTTGTTTTAGTGACAGAAGCTCCAGAGTGCAACAGAATGACAGTGACAAGACAAGACACAGAGAATAAAAGGAATAATATACAAATATACAAAATAGACAATGTACAAAACAGCAAAAACACAATATACAAAATAGACTATTTGTATGTACAGGTATGCTATGTGCAAATTTGAAATCTAAATGAGTATGTGTGTTAAATAAATGTATAATAGTGTTGTGTGTTCCACGTTTATTGTCAAGTGTTCATGAGATGGATTGCCTGAGGGAAGAAACTGTTCCTGTGCCTGGCCATTCTGGTGGTCAGTGCTCTGTAACGTCGACCAGACGGCAACAGTTCAAAGAGGGAGTGTGCTGGATGTGAGGGGTCCAGAGTGATTTTGCCAACCCTTTTGCTCACTCTGGATAAGTACAGTTCTTGGAGAGTGGAGAGTGTTGTACTAGTGATTCGCTCAGCAGTCCGGACTATCCTATGTAGTCTTCTGAGGTCAGTTTTGGTAGCTGAGCTGAACCAGACAGTTATTGAATTGCAGAGGACGGATTCAATGATGGCGGAGTAGAACTGTTTTTAGCAGCTCCTGTGGCAGGTTGAACTTCTTCAGATGGCGAAGGAAGTACAACCTCTGCTGGGCCTTTTTAACAATGGACTCAATTGTCTAAACTGAAACCTATCCTTTCAAACAAGGATGTGGAGAATGTTTTGCATGCCTTTATTTCCACACGGTTGGATATTATTGTAATGCTCTTTATCTAGGCATATGTGAATCCCTGGTTGCTTGTCTTCAGTATGTCCAAAATGCTGCTGCAAGAATCTTAACAAACACCAGAAAACGGGATCATATAACGCCTGTATTGATATATCTTCACTGGTTACTTGTAAAATACAGAATACAATACAAGGTGTTAATGTTTGTCTATAAAGCATTGCAGGATCAGGCTCCTGAGTATATAAAGGACATGTTAATCTCTTACCAGTCTCAACGTCATCTGCGCTCCTCTCAGAATATGCTCCTAACCGTCCCAGAGTCTCGGCTGAGGCGTAGTGGAGACCGCGCTTTTTCTGTTGCGGCTCCTGCACTCTGGAATGTGTTACCATTATCTATAAAATCCTCGGCAAGCATGGACATTTTTAAAAAGGACTTGAAGACCTACTTATTTTATCAAGCTTTCAGCATTTGATTAGGTCGGAGAATTGTGAGGGATTGGCTGCATAAGCTGATGTTATGTCTCGTTGTTATTTTATGTGTGCATGAATTTTAGTATTATTTATTATTTATTGACAGCACTTTGGTCCATTTTAATGGTTTTGAAAGTGCTTTATAAATAAAGGTTGAGTTGAGTTGAGAATGTGAATGTCCCACTTAAGGTCCTGAGAGATGGTGGTGCCCAGGAAGCTGAATGACTCCACAGTTGTTACAGTGCTGTTCATGATGGTGAGTGGGGGGAGTGCAGGGGGGTTTCTCCTGAAGTCCATGATCCTCTCCACTGTTTTGAGCGTGTTGAGCTCCAGGTTGTTAAGACTGCACCAGACAGCCAGCTCTTTAACCACTTGTCTGCAGGCAGACTCGTCATCGTCCTGAATGAGGCCGATAAGTGTGGTGTCATCTGTGAACTTCAGGAGCTTGAAAGAGGGGTCTTTGGAAGTGCAGTCATTGGTGTAGAGGGAGAAGAGCTGTGAGGAGAGGACGCAACCCTGGGGGACGCCAGTGCTGATTGTACGGGTGCTGGATGAGCATTTTCCCAGCTTTACTAGCTGCTGCCTGTCAGTCAAGAAGCTGGTGATCCACTGACAAACGGAGGTGGGTATGGATAGCTGAGTTAGTTTGGACAGGAGGAGGTTTGGAATGACAGTGTTGAAAGCCGCCGAGCTGAAATTCACAAACAGGATCCTCACATGAGACCCTGGTCTGTCCAGATGCTGCAGGATGTAGTTCAGTCCCATGTTGACGGCATCATCCACAGACCTGTTTGCTCGGTAAGCAAACTGCTGGGGGTCCAGTAAGTGTCCAGTGATGTCCTTCAGATAAGCCAAAACCAGTCTTTCAAATGACTTAATGGCCACAGACGTTAGCAGTAGCGAACCGTGACTCTTGAGACTAGGCCCTCTCCCTCTACCCTCGTCTGGGGAAAAAACAAACTACCACCCTAGATTAGTCATCTTCTAAAAGTCATCTTTGAACATTTCTAATCCAGCCTTAATGTGGTCACACACCGGACAAGAAGCGCACTGCTGTGCCCCACCACGTCTTTATTCGAACACATTGTTTTCTATGAGTGTATGCACACCAGCTGTGCCATCAGCGACTGTCCGCAGATCCCAGCAGCGACTCTGGGCACTGTTCAAAATCCTGCCCCGCCACAGAGCACCACTCACATAGTTTTCCATTAAATTACATTATATCTGTCCCAAATTATTTTTAATGTATATAGACTTCATCCTTGGCTGGAAGACAATAAAGTCCATGCTTCACATATTGTCAGTGTTGTGGACATGTCTTTCCTTGTTTTACCCCTGTCTTAGTTCCTGTTTTCCTTTTTTGGTCTTGTTTCCTGTTCCTGTCTTCATTGTGTTAATTTGGTTCCAGCTGTGTTTTCCCTCATGTCGTCATGTTCATTAATTCCAGGTGTTCCCTCATTAGTTTCCTTGTCTACTTAAGCCCTGTGTTTCCCTGTGTCTAGCGTCGGCTGTTAAATGTCATCCTTGAGTTCCTGTGTTGATATACCCTTGCTTGTTGGAGTAAAGTCTCAATCGAAGTATTCTCCTGCGTCTCCTTGTTCCTTCCTCCCAGTGAATCGTGACAGAACAGCCGACCGTGACAGTAAGCGGCACCCCTTCCACCCGTGTTTGTTTTTTGTTTTTTGAAAAGTTTTTTTTTTCGTTCGTTTATGATATACCCTTGCTTGTTGGAGTAAAGTCTCAATCGAAGTATTCTCCTGCGTCTCCTCGTTCCTTCCTCCCAGCGAATCGTGACAGAACAGCCGACCGTGACAGTAAGCAGCACCCCTTCTACCCGTGTTTGTTTTTAGTTTTTTGAAAAGTGTTTTGTTTTTTTTTCCGTTCGTTTCTCCCCGCCCAAATGGAGGAACGGGCGATGCTCATCGCCGTGGCTCAGGCAAGCCACGACCTTATCTACGTGAGGGCATTCGTGCCACTCGCCCTCACCAGCTCCCTCGATGGGGAAACCCTCTTGACTCTGTTCCGGCTCGGGATAACATAGCATCTGTCCATGGAGCTCCCAGACACCACCAACCTCGACTGGTAGGAGGCGGTCATCCGGTGTCTGGAGAGTGCCCGATCCCGATCCGGAACCCCTCAGTCCCCGAGTCCCCCTCGTTCCCGAGTCAAGTCCGCCGGCCATTCCTCAGTCAAGCCCGCCGACCACGCATTTCAACCCGAACCAAAAGAGGAATCTAAGGAGGAGAAGGCGGTCGGCTCCAGCCCATGAGCTCACTCCAGTGTCTGCTCCAGTCCCAGAGCTTGCTCCAGTGTCAGCTCCAGCCCCCCAGTTGAGCCCAGGGAGGGCTCCTGATTTCCCGTTGAGCCCAGGGAGGGCTCCTGTTCCCGAGTTTAGCCCAAGGAGGGCTCCTGTCCCCGAGTATATCCCAGTGAGGGCTCCTGTCCCCGAGTTTAGCCCAGTGAGGGCTCCTGTCCCCGAGTTTAGCCCAGTGAGGGCTCCTGTCCCCGAGTTTAGCCCAGTGAGGGCTCCTGTCCCCGAGTTTAGCCCAGTGAGGGCTCCTGTCCCCGAGTTTAGCCCAGTGAGGGCTCCTGTCCCCGAGTTTAGCCCAGAGAAGACTCCAATCCCCGAGTGTAGCACAGAAAGGGCTCTAGTTCCTATGTCCAGCCCAAGGAGAGCTCCAGTCCCCAAGTCAAGCTCAGGGAGGGCCTCTGTTCCCGAGTTAGGCCTACGGAAGGCCTCGAAAGACGATATTCTCCCCAAGGATTTTTTGGGGGGGTAGTATGCGGTAGTATCCACCCTGGAGGCCTCCCATGTCTCCGTCCTGTACCAGCCTCCAGGGCGCCCCCCACCGGTGGAATTGTTACGGCGCGGGATGCGCCTTCCGGGAGGGGGGAGTAATGTCAGTGTTGTGGACTTGTGTTTCCTTGTTTTACCCCTGTCTTAGTTCCTGTTTTCCTTTTATGGTCTTGTTTCCTGTTCCTGTCTTCATTTTGTTAATTTGGTTCCAGCTGTGTTTTCCCTCATGTCGTCATGTTCATTAATTCCAGGTGTTCCCTCATTAGTTTCCTTGTCTACTTAAGCCCTGTGTTTCCCTGTGTCTAGCATCAACTGTTAAATGTCATCCTTGAGTTCCTGTGTTGATATACCCTTGCTTGTTGGAGTAAAGTCTCAATCGAAGTATTCTCCTGCGTCTCCTCGTTCCTTCCTCCCAGTGAATCGTGACACATATATACTACAACAGATCGCACTCTCTCATTCCTTTTTCTCTGTTTTTTCAGTCACCGAACTTTAAACTCCTTGACACCACATGTTAATTCTTTAAGTTAACTTTTGACTGTTTGGAGAAAAGATTAAAGGTTTTGGACTGTCATTGAACTGAACGCGACGTGTTCGGTGTGCGAGACGTGAGTTGCCCTAAACGCGGCACGGTGCTGTGCTCCTCATCCGGTGTGCGACCGCCTTTCTGAAATACAACAAGACAGCGCAGCACAAGTGACTGTTATCACCAAAATAAAACAGCTAAATTTAAGTCAAATGAAAATAATCATCACAAATGCATCATCACACAATCGATCTGTCCACAAAACCAACAAATGTAATGTGTTTAATGTAAAACAATAAACCATGACAGCGCCCACAGCAGAATAAATTAGCGACAGACACTTCATGACAAACAAGCAGTCTTTATAATAAATAATATTATTATTGGCACAGCGGCCCAGTAAATGTCCTCACTTACGTTTTTTTCGGCTTCCATCGTGACATGAATAACAGCTAGTTAGTTTATCAGTGTATATATATATATTTTTTTTTTCCGAGAGATCCACACCGCGAGCGGAACTTGTCATAAGGTTAGTGATAACAAGGCCTGCCCATTTAAAGAAAATATATGATTGGTCAGTTTTTCTGTCAATTGAAATTACGCTCCCATTGATTTACTATTGCTTGGCCTGCTGTAATTTCACAGCTGGACCACGAATCACAGAGCCGCGAACGCTAGGCAGAAACATTCAAATATGGAGAAAATGGGCGTCGTTCAATTAACGCACTCACTGAATAGACAGATTTGAAGAGTTTATTTTTTCCAAAGACATTGTATTCTTTTTATTTAGATGATGGCTGTCAAATTATGAATTGTTTAAATAAAATTTGAAATGATTACTTTTTATTAAAATAATATTAAAAAGTTTAGCATTTCAATAAGTTTATTTAAAAATGGTAAATATAATTTTAATAGTTTAGGCCCTCTCTGAGGGCCTAGAGGGCCCTGACGGTTCCCCTCTGGATGTTAGAGCCACAGGTCATTAAGTCCCATTATCTTGGGTTTCTTTAGGATGGGGATGATGGTGGAGTTTTGAAGCAAGAAGGGACTTCCCACAGCTCCGGTGATCTGTTAAAGATCTGAGTTAAGATGGGGGCCAGCTGGTCAGTACAGGATTTCAGACAGGCTGGTGTAACACAATCTGGGCCTGGTGCTTTTTTCCTCTTCTGCTTCCGGAAGACCTGTCGCACATCATCTACACTGATCTGAAGTGCGGGAGTGGGGTAGAGTGACGTGACATGTGGCCAAGTATGGTGACCCATACTTGGAATTAGTGCTCTGCATTTTAACCCATCCAAAGTGCACACACACAGCAGTGAACACACACACACACCGTGAACACACACCCGGAGCAGTGGGCAGCCATTTTTGCTGCGGCGCCCGGGGAGCAGTTGGGGGTTCGGTGCCTTGCTCAAGGGCACCTCAGTCGTGGTATTGAAGGTGGGAGAGAGCGCTGTACATTCACTCCCCCCACCTACAATCCCTGCCGGTACGAGACTCGAACCCGCAACCTTTGGGTTACAAGTCCGACTCTCTAACCATTAGGCCACGACTTCCCATGAGGGGGGCAATGTTATTGTTAATGGTGTTTTTTCAAACCTGCAATAAAACTCATTCAGATCGTCTGACAGTTGTTGATTCTCCACAGTGCTGGGGGAAGTCTTGCAGTTGATGTAAGAATCCATCCGCCGGCCCAAAAAGCGGAGTCCAGCGGCCTGGTTGAAGGTTTAAGGCGTATTCTGTCTTTTACTTGCGTGTTTGGATTTATCAGGATTTAGTTTCAATTTTAGTCTAGCTCCGTGTTCAATCTGACTCCAATTTCAAGTGATCATTAAATTTAGGCAATATTTCTAATTAAAAACTGATCACAGATATCGATTGTATATTAATTTAGATATTTGATTATTCTGGAAATCCCATACTTTCGATTATTCGTTCATTAACGACCTAACATCGCTCAGAAATTCACTCGGCCGTTTAGTGAACCCACGGACACAAATTCGCCCGTTCTGTTCTTAGAGGATACAGTGTGATTAAATACCTTCAAGTAGGCTGTACCATGCTAGCACATAACAAAAAGTGTAATTTTTCTCTATAATCACGAAAACTGTAACTTGTTAAGCCAGTGACAAACAGAAATCAGAAGGTCCCTAATAGAGAGTCCCCTGCCCCTCCCATTGGTACTTAAGTATGATCTGTGATGGACGCAGATTTGCGGAAATGCTAGACTACGATTTTAATCTACTAGAAATAATCATGATTTCAGAAGAGATCAGAATAAATCAAATATAACAAGTTATTATTAGTCAGGTAAAATTGTATCATGCCAATTACATAATGAAACAATTAGAAGCCAATTTAGAAAGAATAATGCAATTGTGAATCACATTGTAGCCACATGGCAACCCTGCTCCGGTACATAGATACTGTAGCTATATGGGGAATAGCCAAGTGATCCACGTAGGAGACAAACAATTTTAACATAGTCACACAACAGTTATCCTAATTTAACACAAGACACACAGTCTAAAATGCATAGGATTTATAACCTTTTATCTAAATATTTCAAAGATCACTTACAGGAAAGCAATCATGTGTTTTAGAGAATAAACTTAACTAGCCTATGTGCACATGTAGTAGCACAAACAGCTATACAGTGTGCTCTATGGGCACAATGTGTTTAATACAATTACACTTTTGAATAAAAAACGAAATGCATACCTGACAGCAGAGAGACACACAGCAGTATGTGAGTTCTAGTGCAAAGCTCCAGAGCCTCACATGTGCAATGTGGGGTTTTCTGACTACAGAATACCAAAATACAATAATGCCACTTCGCTTATATACTCAGACCAGAAACAAAGAAATCTTCAAATCAGTTGTAAAAACATAAAATACCTTTTGGTTTGTTAGGTTCTCGTGACCCAGGGTCGCACCTGGCTGGAGATAGATAAACATTCCCACAGACACTGAGGGGGACAAACCCCCTCCTCAGCAGATGTTACGACTTCGGCATCTGTGTTTTCTGTGTGGAGTGTTTTTTGTGTATGTCTGTCCAGGAATTGGTTGCTGCAGAGAAACATGATTGGCTGAACCTGTGGTTGCTCCGTCTTAAAAGGGCGGCACTCTTGGAAGATGGCGAGCTCATTCTGGCGTTGGCCTTCTGGCGTGAGGAGCTCCGGATTCCTTCTCCCGTCGACAGATTCCAAACCACTTGTTTTCGTAAATGGTTCATATTTCTGTTGTGAAGTAATTTAATTAAGTTACTACCTGTGTTTTAGGAGCGTAGGGGTGTCCTGCCATTTAGGTTGACCTTGTTTGCGATTTGTTTATCTTAGGGAGTTAGGGAAGTTTATTGTATTTTTGTATCTTTTGCTAGGACATTTATTTATGTTTTATTTGCAAGTTATTTTGTTTGTTGTTTTGGCTTTGGGACACCCTGAAGCTATGGCTCCTGTATTTAATTATTTTATTACATTTCAATAAATCATTTGTGGATCTTACTTTTATGTCTGTGGTGATCTGTCGGCTGGGGTTGGTTTCCCGTTTACCTTCAAACTCACGTCAAGCCCTTTTTCTTATTAGAATGGGGCATAACAGCAGAACACAATTCTACAAAAGTTTTCTTATATTATAAGTTACTAATGTGAAATTGAGACCAATTTACCAATCGCACAGAGACCTTTAGAACGATACCAAACATGAAGGGGAAAAACAACAGGTTCACAAGATACATGATATGTGGTATATACATATTCTTAATGAACTTTGAGTGAAACCTTTTGGGGGAAAAGAGGGAGAGGCAGAGATGGCAGGGGGGAGAAGGGGTTCGTAAATGAGCGAGGAGAGAGGTGTTGTT